AGCTATTTCTCTAGGAGTTAAGAAATATGTTTACCTTATAGTGACACACACAATCAGGAGCCTCTCCCCTAGGTTTTTCCCCTTACTTGCAAAAATCTTTATAAAAAGACATCTTGCTTGGAAAAAGACAAAGGTTTCATAACGGTCACTGGGAGGTTGGAAAAAAGTGCAAGTGTTTTGAGGCAGCATCCTGCGAAGCCCTACCTTATTGATCCTTGAGTGTCCCTGGGGACCAGCACAGTGTTTGGCACATAGAAGGTCTTCAGATCTGATAAATTGCTCCATTTTTTAAAAGTTGACATTCTGTTGATTTGTAATGTGTTAGTTCCAGGTATATACAGCAAAGTGATTCAGTTACACATATACATATATCTATTCTTTTCCAAATCCTTTTCCCATTTAGGTTATTACAGAATCTTGAGCAGAGATCCCTGTGCTATACAGTAGGTCCTTGTTGTTTATCTTTTTTATGTATAGTAGAGTGTATATGTTCATCCCAAACTCTTAATTTATCCCTCCTCTCCTTTCCCCTTTGGTACCCATAGTTTGTTTTCTATATCTGTGGATCTACGTCAGTTTTGCATATAACTTCCTTTGTATCACTTTTTAAATCCGCATATAAGCAAAATCATGTGATATTTGTCTTTGCTTACTTGACTTAGTATGATAATCTCTAGGTCCATCTATGTTGCTGCAAATGGCGTTATTTTACTCTTTTTATGGCTGAGTAATATTCCAGTGTATAAGTGTGCCCCATCTTCTTTCTCCATTCCTCTGCTGATGGACATTTAGGTTGCTTCTATGTCTTGGCTGCTGCGAATGGTGCTGCTGTGCACCTTGGGGTGCGCATATCTTTCCGAATTGTGGTTTTCTCCAGATACATGCCCAGGATGGGATTGCTGGATCTTATGGTAACTCTAATTTTAGTTGTTTAAGGAGCCTCCATACTGTTTTCCATAGTGGCTTCACCAATTTGCATTCCCACCAACAGTATAAGGATTCCCTTTCCTCCGCACCCTCTCCAGCGTTTGTTATTTGTAGACTTTTTAATGATGGCCATGCTGATTTATGTGAGGTGATAGTTCACTGTAAACTGCCCTATTTGAACATGATTGTAGCTGGATAGATTTTGTATTAGAACTCATTCAGGTGCAAGTGACAGAGAAACTCATACTGACTTAAGCAATGAATGAATTCTTGGTTCATGTGATTAAAATACTCCAAACCAGATCTTTATCCCCTTTCCCTTCTTCTTTCCCCCTTCTCCATCTCCCCATCTCCCTCTGCCATATCTCAGATCAAGTTTCCTTTTGGATGTTATCACCATGTAGTAATTCTGGCAATTCCTGGTCAAGATAACTTTTTTCTTTTCCTAACTAGTCTATAAAAGTCCCCAGATTTATTTCATTGACCCAGTTTGGAGCATGTGCCCTTCTGAACCAATCACAGTGGCTGAGAAATTTGAATCTCTGATCAGCCAACCTGAATCATAGGCTTAGCCCTGAAGTAACTACTCTCACTTGGATAAGATTGGAAAAGTGATGGTTTACCCCCCACATATGGGTTATTTTACTAGAAAAAAAAATAATAAATGGATACCAGGCAAACAAAAACAACTGATTCTTGGTTGGGTTTTGTTTTCTCCTTTACAACAGATAAACACGTCTGTGTCTTTCCCAAGCTTGGTAATGGTTGAACAGTGATCTTCCTCCATTTCCACGAGAAGGAAGCCGTTCACATAATGACTGTGGAGAAGAGGGAAACATAAGAGAGGTGAGAGGCGTAGCCAAGCTGACTTCCCGTGCATGCCCAGCTGTCCTCTTAAAACTGCAGAGTCCTTTAAACATTCAAGGCTTTGATATTTTGGCTCATATTATACATTTCAACACCTTATTGTTTGTGTTTGATGTCTGGGTTAGTAATATTAATGAAAAAAAGAACCATCTGGGAAAACTTTTTTTTCCCTTTCTCATGTGGCTTCTTTATGGATAAGCAAAAAATGTTAATTATTTAAGCAAAAGTGTTTTTAATATGGAGCCATAATGGTGTTTTGAATAAGGAGTTTTATCACAGTATTATCCACTTCTAGTTCCAGAAAAACAGAAGCAGATTGCTTTGTACTTGTGAGGAAGTGTGGAAATCATCGCTAGAAATGCATTTTAGAATTTGCCCAAAATATTAATCTGCAAAATAATAATCTTTATTATGAAGCTTTGTTACAGAATAAGAAAAAAAAAAACTCAGTAAACTTGTTTAAATTATCTCTCATAAAATTATAAAATTTCTGAAACTATTCTTAAATTAAAGCCACAGACACATGATATTCACAGGTAAAGGGGGATTTTTGAAATCAAATTCTTGAAAATAACAGATTGGCATTATTAAATCAGGTGAGTTCTGCCTGTATTCAAAAAATATGTAAGTATTTAAGCACATAGGGAAAGCACAGAGAGATGATGTAAAATGCGTAAATTTGAATTCTTATCATACTGAAACTTACAAAAATAAGAATCACATGAAATACTCTTGGCTTCCTGGGCAGAAATGAGTACATCAACACTTCAGGCTCTTAACAATGCATGTTAATCCATTATGGATAAACCAATTAAAATGGGCTTGATTACCAAATGTACCAAATGTACAAGAATGAAAGGCAGTGCTCGTCATATAATCATATGTGGTTACAGTGTACATGGCAATGGCCCTAAGAGCCCTACTGTGTGGAGCTTTAAAGGCTCCAGACCCTCACCTCTGTGTGAACCGCATCCTAATCCCATCCGCCCACAGACACCCATCTCCTCTGCTCACTACTCTCTTTCTCTCACTTCACCCAACAAAAACACACTTCTTGTCTTCCTTCTTCTTGAATCCAGCCACGTTGCATTCTTTCAGGGTAGAAAAACCTCTCATCCAAACAATGGGACTACATATAAAAATGTAATAGCACAGGAAAAAAAATCATCATCAGTAAGAAATATCTAGGGTCTAGATGCCTCATTTCATGCAGGTGACAGATTTATGAAATGATTTTTTTCATCAAAGGTTTTTACCTGTTTATCATGGAATTAGAATATTCAACTATGAAAAGCATGCCAGGAATTTACAATCAGCTAAGAAATGTGTTCTGTCTGCCTGTTGACAGTTCACAGTGAGAATGAGCTTGGTGATTCATGTTGTTAACCTGTGTCTTGACCTGTGTCTCAGTTGCATATTTTGCATGACTTTAAGGAAGAAGAGATAAAAATGTCCATGTTTACTTGCATAAAATTTTTTAAGATGATAACAGAAATTTTTTTAACATAAGCACAAATTTCATCCTCATTGACACTCATCATTCATTCCATTTATTTATGTGATTCACATTGTTCTTCTATAGATAATGCACTTAATAACAACCATTTTATTCACTTTTTGTAAACTCTACAATTTCTAGCGATTGAATACTTTCTCTTTGCTGTTAATTCCCTGAAGAGTAAATTGCACTCTTTAAAGTAGAGCATCTACTTAGGTATATGACAAAATATTCTCAAAGTGCAATCTACAATGTAATAACCTGAACTTAGACAGTCATCTTTATTTAATAAGGATTAGTTCTTTCCACTCAGATGTTGATATTTTAATACTGTCAAGTGTGTAATCATAAACTTAGTAATTTTCATCCAGGAAATGAAATTCCTAAACAGTCCATATGTAATCATTCTCAACTGTCTGTCTTTAGAGCCATCTGTCATGCCTTTTTAAGGTCCTTCGAGTCAGCCTAGAATATTGAAATTGGCATAAAATAGGCCTTTGCTTGTGGACAAAGAAAAAATCATTTCAGTCTCCAATTTCATGAGATTTGTTTTTAACAGGTTTGGTTCAAATCCAGCTCCACAAATGAGACGCCCCTAAAAAGAGTATAACAGGTGTAACTAACCATCAATTGGTTAAAGTCTTGATATAGTATCAAGGTATATTTACTAAAAACTGAGAGACTGAAGGCTTTTAGTTTGGCAGAATATTGGATGATGGCCTCAACATCCCATCCAGTTTAGCATTTGTCCTGGATATTTTAATATTTACCTCAATATTATTACCAAGAGTTGAATGAAAGTCACCTGGAATGGGTTTGGTAGACCTCTACTTTGTACTTCCGACTACTGACAGGTGTGTGCAGAGAAGAGCTGTTGCTTTGACATGGGTTAGATCTGAAGGGTGGCCAGCAACAGCCTATTCCCTCTTTTATTAACCCTTTCACATAGACATAACTCTCACTCACCCATCAAAGACAGCATGCAGAGGTTTCCTGATAAAACAAACATGGTGGCAAGTGTGGTATCTTAGTCTACTTAGGCTGCCACAACAAAACCATAGACTTAGTTAAACAACAGAAGTTTATTTCTTGAAGTACTAAAGGCTGGGGTATCCAAGATCAAGGTGCCAGCTGGTTTGCTTCCTGGTGAGACCTCTCTTCCAGGCCACCTCCTCCCAACACCCTCATATAGCTTTTCTTCTGTGCTCATGTGGTGTCTCTTCTTAAAAGGATACTAATTCTATTGGATAAGGGCCCACCCACATGACCTCATTTAACTTTAATTACTTCCTTAGAGGTGCTAGCTTCAAATATGGTCACACTGAGGGGTTAAGGCTTCAACATATGAATTGAGGGAATGGATGCAAACATCAGTCTATAACACATGGGAAATAATAATCAAGTGCATGTCAAATAAATGCAAAAAATAGAAACTGGGCAGTCCTGCATAACAAACCTTCCCAATACTAATTGACTTAAAATAACTATTTAATGGGCTTACAGGTGGTGCCATGGTAAAGAATCCACCTGCCAATGCAGTAGACACAGGAGATGCAGTTTCGATCCCTGGATTGGGAAGATGCCCTGGAGAAGGAAATGGCAACCTACTCCAGTATTCTTCCTTAGAAAATTCCATGGACAGAGGAGCCTGGTGACTGAGCTACAGTCCATGTGTTTGCAAAGAGTGAGACATTACTGAACATGCACACACACACACAACTATTTAATCCTCACAATTCTGTTGTTCAGGAATTCAGATAGCACTCAGAAGGGAAAGTTCATTTCTGCATCATGTGGTGTTGGTTGCAGAATCTGTGATAGCCCCCCTCAGATGTTTGGTTTCTAAGCTGGTTGCTTGAAATGACTGGGGTCTGGCTAGGTCTCACTCTCTGGCTCTCTCTGTCTCTCATTTCCTTCCTGCCTCCTCATAGACTCTTCTACTCCAAAGCCTCTATTTCTCCTCGTGGCCTCTCTTTACAAGGATTCCTTCAATGTCCTCTGGTTTCCCCTGTAATAGAAAACAGAAGCTATACAAACTTTGAAGGTCTGGGCTCAGAAATCCCAAACTATCATTTCTGCTGCATTCAACTTGTCAAAGTGAATCACAAGTCCAGTGCAGATCCAAGGTGTAGGGAGACAGACCCGCCTTCTTGGTCAGAGAAGTGAAACAGGCATACAGGGATGAGATGAGTTATCATTGGCTCTAGTTGCAGACAAGCCCACTACAGTCTGCCCTCAGGCCACTAACGTTTACATCACTTCCACATGTAAACCTTGGTTAGCTCCTGCAGACTCTCCAAGTCTTATCCAATTTGATACCAGGTTCTGTTCCCAGAATTTCTTGATCTATGTTGATATACATTATTATTTATTAATCTTCAGAAAATTTTTATTATAAAAATGTTTTTTGAGTTGAATGATTATTATAGGTCAACAAATATAAGAAAAATAATTTTTTATCTTGTAAATGAGTTTTTCTAGAAACTGTAAATGTCCCAATATATATTTTTAGTTTTATAATCACCATTTCACAATTGTCTAGCATATTGCTTTCTGCAATGATAGAAGCACTCTCTGATGCTATAGCAATCGACCATATTTAAATATTGAGCACTTGAAATATTGTTTATGTAACTGAGGAATTAAATTTTAAATACTAATTTTAATTAATTTAAATTTCACCACATGTGACTAGTGACTACTGTACTGAACAGTTCAGGTCTAACAAGTCCTTTTGCTGGTTAAGTGGTATATAATTCTTTTCTTTCAAAAAAACTTAAAGAAGAACATAACTGTGTTGTCTGCTAGTACTTTGGATGAGCCATGGCAACCATCCACGGTCACATGGCAAGGAATATATGGTATATGCACATTAGGAGAGTAATTCCAGGAAGATTTACTAAATGGGCTATTGATAAGGTATGATTAAGATATAGAGAAACCCCCCCAAATAGTACAGTACCCTAGGGATAGTAATAGGAAAGTTGTTACTATCTTTGGGCCTAAAGGGATAAGAGGGTGGAGAGTTACCCAGAACTCACAAGGAAATAGTCACAAGGGTCACCTTGAAGGGAGAGAGAACTTAGGGAAGGAGCCAGGAGAATAGATAGCCTTCTCTTCCCATCATCTCCTGCCAAAAGATCTTCATTGGCCAAACCCAACTGGAAGCAAGAGGGCAAGAAAGCATGTTGATGTAGTCTGGACAGGTCAGCCTCCAGACACAAGGTGGGGTTGAAGAGGATGACTTGGATGTAGAAAGATAAGTAGAAGATACACAGTACATAAAAACATTAAAACAATATTGTGTTATAAATTACCACGTAGGTGCTTCCCTGTCAATCCAGTGGTTAAGATTCTGTACTTCCAATGCAGGGGTATGGGTCCGAGCCCTTGCTGGGAAGCTAGGATCCTGCATGCATGCAACATGGACAAAAAATAAAGATATAGTAAAATAAATTATTCTGTTTTGGGCATGCAACTCAAATGGAATTCAAGGAATTGAGTGACATTGCTGTAACAGATTCTTTCTTAATTATGTGAACAAGATTTTCTCTATCTGAACTCTGTTTCATTTGAGCAGTAAGTGATTCATCCAAAGGTATACAAAACTAAATGGAAGGAAAAGCCCCATTCAACTCACATTTTACAAAAATATTAGACTTAGCAAATGTTTAATATATTTAGATATTTGAATCAATGATGAATTTTGTTATAATTAGCTTCAGGTGAGTGAAAAACTTTTCAAAGGTGGTGGATGGAAGCATCAGCAGTTTGTGATAAGAGGCAGCTATTGCACTCTCAGACTCTGGGCTGGGTGGCTTGGGTTCTAATCTGCCACCACTTGTTTGCTATGGAGCATCAGGTAAATTCATTAACTTCTATACCTCAGCTTCCTAACCATAAATAGTGATGATACTAGTACTTACCTTATAGGGTTGTTGTGAGGATTAAAATACCTAATGAACATATGGCACTTTACAGTACTATTTAAATATGTGTTGTATCAGTCAGCCATTGCTGCAATAACACTGCATAACAAACAACCATAAAATTTCAATAGCATAAAGCAATAAGCATTCATTTCTCACTCCACACCTGTGGATTGCTTAGAGTTGCCTCACACTACAGGTTGGGCTCAGGTCAGCTCCAAGAGCCTGTCATTCTCCCTAGACCAACAGCTAAACAAAGGGTGTTCTTCTCATGGCAAGAAAGCAGGAACATGAGATATTAATCTCCTTTGAAATAAAGCTTTTTGCTGAAATTTTCAATTTTCTTTTGCTTTATATGTCATTCTGAAATCTTGTGTTTTAATTGGAATTTCAATAGCAAATACGTTATCTAAAAAAATACCTTGATTGTAAGCCAACTTTATGCTTCAGTCAAAAGGCCGGTATATTCCATTCTCTGCAAGAGTCTGCCTTTTGTCTATACAAAATACATGAATCCTGAAAAACATAAAAGAAAATGGAGAGAGATCATTTTACTTAGATTCTAAATTCATTTTGAAAATAATTTTTTTTTCTCCTTCTTTTGATAAACCTGTCTTTTGTATTATCTGAGCAATTCTATAGCATCTACTGAACATAAATAACCTGGGGAACCCATCACATGTGCTAGCTAAGAGATTTATCTTGCCCCTGAGCAGATAGAGGCAGGGGTCAAGGGGAATTTATGGATCCTCCCATCATTTGGCCTGTATGTTTTATTATCACAAGCCAACAAAGTTTTAATTTCACCTTCTTCTGTTTTCTGGTGAGTAAACAAAGTAGAATTGTTTTGATAAAGAGACTTAACGGGAGAAGTTGATGTATTACACCTTTGCAGATAACTCAGATTTATGAGCTTAGGGGAACAATTTACAAATTCCTTTCTCTCGAATCGTCTGTTTAACTTGTGAGATTCTGATAATAAAGTTAATAAGCACGTTTTTCCCGTCTAGTATTGCTATAAATTGTGTGAGAGATAATCTCAATGCTCTTGGTCAGGCTGAAGTCACCTATTGAGATGAGTCTTTACTACTAATGTGGAAGATGGTAGAGTCTACTGGCTGAAGAGTCAAAGAATGCCTTTCTTCAGAAGTGGTGTTCAAACACTGGTGGATTATACTTGTTTCTAGAAAGAAAATTCTAATTGGCAATGACTGAGTGTGAATAATACCCTTGGTGTTTTAGCAGCTGTTCTTGTTCATTCCAGCTTACATGTTCCATGAGGCGGTTGCTTCCTTAGAGTGAGATGCTAGAAGCCTTGCCATAGAGATGGGAGGTGTCATGTCTCAGGACGCCCTGGCTACTCCACTTCCCTCTCAAACTCAGACAGAAATATTTATGCCCCACTTGATGACATGCTTGACTTCTCCGTTTTCAGAAATGTGTGTAAAAGGTCTACACAGCCATTCACTATGATACTTCCTTAAAATCTTTAGTGACAGGAGAAAGTTCTCTTGGGAGCATCAGACAATTTCTACACAAAGAAAACTAGGATATAAAACTTTTAAAATAGCACAATTCTCATTGAGACAGAGATAAAGTTATCTGCAAGTAAATGTATTTAAATGTTAACAGTGGGCTTTGGGGCTACTATTATTCCTTCTCTCGCACTTTCCTGTATTTATGAATTATTTACAGGGAGCAAGTGTTACTATAATAGCTCAAAAGTTCCTAAAAGTCCTGAGACACAGCTTTCTCCCTCCTTATTCTTAAACTATACTGGAAAGATAACATTTTACAATTAAAAACTAGTTATTAAAGGGACTTTTCTCTATACTCAATATCTTGTAATGGAAAAGAAGCTGAAAAAAAATAGATATGTATATGTGTAACTGAATCACTTTGCTGTACACTTGAAATTGACACAACATTGTAAATTAACTATACTTCAATTTAAAAAGCTTTTCAGTAAGGGGGAGGGGGAGACATTTCTCAACTTCCCAAAATGTCTGTCTTCTGTCATTTTTTCCTTCACACTCTTCTTGGTGATCTCAGTCAATGTCACAACTTCAGACACCGATTCTGACACATAAACACCTGTGGCCTCTGTAGGCAGCCCTGGCCTTGATCTTTAGTTTCATTCCTGTAATGCCATTCATCTTCTGGACAGCTACATAAGGATGTCTTGTCAGCATATTCAAGAAACCCCAAAACAGGCTCGTGAATTTGAGTCCTCCAAGTTGGCTTATCCCGCTTCTGGCTTTGTTCCTTTTAATGACACCACTTTCTCTAGGTCATTATGAAGGGATTTCTCACTGTTATCTTGAGGCTATCATATCTTTCACAGACAGTCATCATCATATTCCATCTTAACAACGCTGCTCACATTTAATTGCTCCTTTCCATTCCCTCTAACAATATCCTAATTATACCTCTCACTTTGCTGATAGCAGTATACTTACTAAGTGCTTTGCATTCCTCAAATTTAATTCTCACAGCAGCCCTAGAAGGTAGGTCCTCTTCTTACCATCCCATTTTGCAGTAGCTTCCCTGAGGTCACAGAGTTTATATGCAGAGCTGGATTTACCCAGAGAACAAAGTCCAGGTTGTTTGGGTGGGTGCTTAGGGCTCCCCAGTTGACACCCACCCGCTTCAGCTTTACCTGCCAATTGTCACTGGATGGGTCTCACACCCCACCCACCCCCAGCTGTGTGCTCCCAGGTCCTGCCTCCACTCATTAGAGTTCAAACTTCTATTTTTACATCTCACTACTCAGCCCAACTGCCATGCATATATCCTCCCTTGCAAAGGGGTGTTTGGGTTTTTCACTGAACCAGAACCATAGATCAGACACATTCTAGAGATTATCAAGACTTCTCTGTCATGAGACAGACCCTGGAGAGAGAAGCATTGTATTCAGTTTTCCAAAGTGCAAAATCTAGACTTGCCAGAGCTATACTGTTGCTTTCTTTTCTTCAGTGGTGCCCCATGGTACATGTTATGAGTTCAACAAAATATTCAGTTCAGTTGCGCTGCTCAGTCGTGTCTGATTCTTTGCAGCCCCATGAATCGCAGCACACCGGGCCTCCCTGTCCATCACCAACTCCCAGAGTCCACCCAAACCCACGTCCATCAAGTCAGTGATGCCATCCAACCATCTCATCCTCTGTCATCCCCTTCTCCTTCTGTCCTCAATCTTTCCCAGCATCAGGGTCTTTTCAAATTAGTCACCTCTTCGCATCAGGTGGCCAAAGTATTGGAGTTTCAGCTTCAACATCCATCCTACCAATGAACACCCAGCACTGATCTCCTTTAGGATGGACTGGTTGGATCTCCTTGCAGTCCAAGGGACTCTCAAGAGTCTTCTCCAACACCACAGTTCAAAAGCATCAATTCTTAAGGACTGATCTCCTTTAGGATGGACTGGTTGGATCTCCTTGTAGTCCAAGGGACTCTCAAGAGTCTTCTCCAACACCACCGTTCAAAAGCATCAATTCTCTGGCGCTCAGTTTATAGTCCAACTCTCACATCCATACATGACCACTGGGAAAACCATAGCCTTGACTAGATGGACCTTGAGCAGAGAGCTGACTTATTTCAAAAGACCCCTATGCTGAGAAAGATTGAAGGTGGGAAGAGAAGGGGACAACAGAGAATGAGATGGTTGGATGGCATCACCCACTCAATGGACATGAATTTGAGTAAACTCTGGGAGTTGGTGATGGACAGGGAGGCCTGGTGTGCTGCAGTCCATGGGGTCACAAAGGGTCGGACACGACTGAGAGACTGAACTGAAGTGAGCATAGTGGAAGCAAGAGGCGGACTGGATATCCTTTATCTATTAACCCTGAGGATGAGGACTTGGACAGCCCCAGCCTGAGATTTCTTTGTCCAGATGGCTTTCACAGTGGTCTTCTCCTGTCGGCTGGAGTGGGGTTATAACCTCCTCCCCTTCCTCCCCATCCCTCCCCCTCCTTCTTCCCCTCTTTCTCCCCTTCTTCCTCATCGTCATCTTCCAGATGCTACTTCTTGCAAATGCTTTTGTCAAAGAAATTCTTACCAGAAGGCTCTGTGTGAATAGATTAAAAACAGGGCTGCTTTGCTGGAGGCGGAGTGGAGAGCACCCCCCCCCCCCCACCAACCTGTCCTCTTCCCTGCATCTGAGGGATTCTGCACAGACCTGCTTTCAAGGGCTGTGCAGGGAGCATGTATGTGTGCAGGCCTGTCTAGAGGTGTGTGTGTGCGTGCTAAGTCACCTCAGTTGTGACCAACTCTGTGACTCTCTGGACTGTAGCCCACCAGGCTCCTCCATCCATGGGATTCTCCAGGCGAGAATACTGGAGTGGGTTGCCATGCCCTTCTCTAGGGATCTTCCCAATCCAGGGATCAAACCTGTGACTCATGTCTCCTGCATTGGCAGGCAGGTTCTTTACCACTAGCGCCACGTGGGAAGCCCTGTCTAGAGGCCAGTGGAGATGAAAGTGATTCTCTTGTTCATAAGAATGTAACACGCTCAATAGCAGCACCCTCTTTTCTAAATTACTTGTGTTTTTATTCTGGGCTCCCTAGAACTTGGATTGACTGGTAATCAAGCACATATATGTTTAGTTCTTGCTGAGCTGTTCTGATGTGAGGCTTCGGAGAAATATATGGCGCAGTCCTGCCTCTGGAACGTATATAATCTCGTTGGGAAGCCAAGATGGTCACCTTGCTAAGCATGGTTCTAAATGTTTAGGTTTTCATTTCTGATCTCTTGCCTGAACTCCAGGTGTAATACTTTGCCTCTCTCTCTGCCTCCCGGACTGTCTTCTCTTTTTTGGTTGCTCCACTTTCACCAGAAAATTTCTAAACGTGAAGCTATATTGTTTCTCAGAAAACCCAGAATGTTCACAACGTCAACATCAGAGCTGTCTGGTAAAAGAACAAAGGCACTGGGGAGTAGTGGGAGGCAGGGAGGATCATCGAAGTAACAAAAGCAACACAAATAATTGGGGAGGCTTACCGTTAAGTATGTGAAGCTGGGGACTTCTCTGGTGCTCCGGCTTCCACTGCAGAGGGTGTGGGTTCAATCCCTGGTCAGGGAAATAGGATCCCTCGTGCCGCATGGCATGGCCAGAAACTTAAAAAAAAAAAAGAAAGAAAAATTAAATATATGTGTGTGTGTGTTTGTATGTATGGCACTTCCCTGGTGGCTCAGATGGTAAAGAATCTGCCTTCAATGCAGGAGACCCTAGGTTGAATCCCCCTTGGGTCAGGAAGATCCCCTGGAGAAGGGAATGGCTACCCACTCCAGTATTCTTGCCTGGAGAATCCCACAGACAGAGAAGCCTGACGGTCCATGGGGTCACAGGGAGTCGGACACAACTGAATGATTAGCACTTCCACTTCTATATATATATATACACACACACACACATATATAATATATACCCCATCATATATGACAGGGAATAGGTGTGTCCTGGAGGAATGTATACTAGCATCATTTTGACTGGTCTCAGGTGTCTTGTCAGTCTCTCTTATCAATGTGATGGTAATTCTTTCTTTTTAAGTGTTTTATATATACGACCTTTAATTGCAAGTCAACAACTGCAGCCTCCATTCAGCCAAAGAAATTGAAATCTGTCCCCAAAATGGAGGGAAGAACGGGCCATGATGGATTTTCTCAATGATGTACTATGTACACCATCATTCAGAAATGATTTACTATTATTTCTGAGTGATGACTGAGATTTTCAAGAGTCACACTGAACTCATCTGCTAACTTTAAAATACAAACACTGCCTGCGTTGTGACTTTGTTGAATGTGGTTCTGCTGCGGAGGACAGACCGAGGCAGAAGGGAGCAGCCGTCGCTCAATGTGAGGGAAAACGCCTAACAGGACAGCCGACCAGAGGCACACTGGCCAGCCGCAGCGTGATTTCCTCCCAGTCCAGACACAGACTGAGCTCTGCGTTCAGAGGGAGGCTGAATGGAGAAGCCTCCCAAGTCCCTTCCAACTGAACGCTTTGTGAGTGTGTGAATATATGAGTTCCTTTGGAGGTCAGAGAGGTGAGAAATTAAAATTAGAAGGAGTTTTCGCAGAGAGGCCTTCCTGATGCAGGAGGAAAAAAGATTATCTGGGTGTCAAAGGTGTGGAAGAGGCTAGGCAGGTACAGGGGGATGAAGAGGGCAACTGATGTCGATGGGGGAAGAAAGAAAGATGCTAGAAAGACTCCCCTTGAGAGAAAGGAGCAGCTGAACTGTGTTTGAGGCAGTGGTGAGCTTAGCAAAAACCTGACAGCTATTCATACATTATCTGATAAACCTGACAGTTGCCTAAGGACATGTGAACTTTGGAGCAGCTCTGAAATGAAAAGAGGTGGGAAAACTGTATGCTGTGTTAAAGTCCCCCCCCACCCCCAAAGCTGAAGAACCGGGGTTTTCCTAAACACAAGGGCAGGGCAACCACCAGAACTCTCAGTAGGTCCAAGGCCAAGTAACCCACTCTTTTCAGATGTCTCACCCCCTCGTCTATATTGAGATAAATGGGCAGCAGGAAAAATCTGTAAACATCCCACTAAAGTCAGGACATGACATTTTAAGAACTTTATTTCCCCAGAGAGATAAAAAGGGTTTGTTTTTTTTTAAATGTCATAGAGATTCTTTGTTTGTGAACAAACAAGTACAGAAATGGTACAAGGTCATTTACTACAGAATTGAAAGCAAGCCTGACATGGAATTATTTCAAAAGGACCTTTTTGAGTGATTATCCATTTTGTAACTCTACTATTATATTTATAACATAAATCACATAATTAACCCATTATGGATAACTTGTAGTAGTGTGCAGCTTTAGGCGAGATGTGTGTATCCTCTGATCTTTAAATGACCAATCTCTGATGTCACCAGCCCCACCTGAGCCCTAGGGAAATGGCTGTGCATATTATACAGGTAAGCAAAGAAATATCATAGTGGCCTTTTCAGCAATTCAAAAGCTGTGGTGGTTCTAGGTCATTTGTATGTCTCTATGTTTTGGTGCTATTGGGTTAAAACTGTGTATGTTAGTTGCTGAGTTGTGTCCAACTCTTTGCAACCCCACAGACTGTAGCCCATTGGGCTCCTCTCTGTCCAGGGGATTCTCCAGGCAAAAATACTGGAGAGGGTAGGCATTCCCTTTTCCAGGGGATCCTCCTGACCCAGGGATCAAACCCAGGTCCCCCACATTGCAGGCAGATTCTTTACTGTCTGAGCCACCAGCCATGCAGTATAACTGTATTTTTACTTTAATCCTTATATCTGTACAAAGAGAAAGGATACATTCAGAAAATTGGGAGTGGGACAAATAATGTTTCAATCAAATCCACAGAGAACCCTCAAATCAGAAATATCAACCACCTGGAACAGGTTGAATGTTTAAGCCCCAAACATTCTACTGCTGCCTGGGTGTGAGGAAGACAGTGGTGAGCACAGAGCACTAATCATGGCATTCTTCGCTGGGGTAATGAGGCTCCTTAGTAGAATCAAATATCGGCAAATTACAGTCACTGTGAGAAATAGATGAAGAATTTTGTGGCTTGGATTCTGGTGATACCCAGTATTGTTTCTATTTTCTTACCTTCTACTGTAGAATATATCTCTCCTTGGGTTCTACTAGTTTATAATTGACCTTGATTTCAAGCAAGCTTTCCAAGACATTGTAGTTTTTCTCCCTCTCTTTTTGAGTGTTCATCCAGGTAGGATTTGAATGAGGGGAAAAAGACAATCAAGGAAGAGAAGCATCCTGAGAAAAGACAGTATATCACCCAAATGAACCTACTTTATTGCAGAGGGAACTCTGCTCAATGTTATATGATAGCCTGGTTAGAAGGGGAGTTTAGGGGGTAATGGAGCCATGTACGTGTGTGGCTGAGTCCCTTTGTGGTCCACCTGAAGCTGTCACAGCATTGTTAATTAGCTATTCAGTTCAGTTCAGTTGCTCAGTCATGTCTGACTCTTTGTGACCCCATGGACTGCAGCACGCCAGGCCTCCCTGTCCATCACCAACTCCTGGAGCTTACCCAAACTCATGTCCATTGAGTCCGCAATGCCATCCAACCATCTCATCCTCTATACGTCAATACAAAATAAAAAGATTTTTACAAATTACCCCTCCCCACAAAATTATCCCAAGACGGTATATCCATGTGGGAGGGAAACCAGTGGGGGAGCAGCGAGACGGGGACAGCTGGCTCCTCCTGAAGGGGGTGTAATGGAAGGTCAAGGAGAAATATTTCGGTGGGTGATCTTATATAGCAGTGGACATGCTGGATTATAGACTGGTGGGATGGGGGCCAAAGAGGGGGTGACGGGTCACAGGTGGAACATGATAAGGAACAATGTCGGGGAGCTGTAGGGTTGCCAAGTGCAGAGCTAGGGAGCTGACCACAAAACCACCCTCATGCTGACCCCAAGTGCAAGTTTGTGGGGACCCAAGGCCAACTTCAGTTTCAATAATTTGCCAGAAAGTCTCACAGAACTTACTGAAAGCTATTGTCCATGTTAAACCAGAGTGATAATATATTACAGTGAAACAATACAGATGGAAGTGAACCAAGGGAAGAGATGCATGAGGCAGAGCCCAGAAGAGGTCTGAACCCAGAGTTTCCAACTGGAGTGTGGAGCGTGTTAACTTTCCCAGGAAAAATGTGAGACAATGGGAACAAAGTACTGTTGTTGTTTAGTCGCTCGGTCGTGTCAGATGCTTTGGGACCCCATGGACTGCAGCACGCCAACCAGCAAAGCTCACCCAAGGCTTCGTGTCCAGAGTTTTTGTTAGAGCTCATATAGACCTGAATGGCCACCCACATTGCTGACTTCAGTATCTAGCCCCTCTGGAGGTCTCACTTGTACCACATGATGCAAAGCCTCCACCCCGAGAGCCACATTGTTGGACAGTGGCCATCAGTCTGATCATACACAACATTTCAAGGGTTCAGAGGTCACCTCCCAAGGGCAAAAGCCAGACCTCCCTTTGGGTATGGTTAATTTTTTACCACACACTGAAGTTAGACTCTCTCACCCATTTTTTCCTTCTCCCTCACATTTCTGTCCCTTCCTTCTTCCTTTCTCCAAATCCTTTAAGGTTCAAAACAATCTGTGTCCCAAACACCCTCTTCTCAGCTGCTGTCAGATCAGGCTACAGTCCGTAGTGACTGGACTGCAAGAAATGAGAACAGGGTCAGTGACATGTCTTTATCCTCAGCTTGATGAACTCCATGGAGGCCGCTGGGCAGATCTCATGGTTCCAGGTCCCTGGAGAATGTTATCTGCAAGTTCCATTAACTTGGAAAATTACAATAAAATTTATCCTGGGGGCCAAGGACTAAAAGTCTGATTTTCTTGGTAACATAGGGACCACCCCTCTCTGCCAGGGATGGACTGTTGAAGACTTATTCTGGGGCCAGATATTCTTAAACAATGAGATATTAAAAAAAAAAAAAAAAGTTACCTCAAAAAAAATGACTGATTCAGGTCAGGCTGCCTCAAAGCCTTGAGACATTTCCCTTTAAAACCATCCCAGGCGTCTTTTTGTTTTACCTGTGATTCCTTTCTTGGTCATCCTTCAGTGAATGCTTAGCCTTGAGAAAGCCTTCTCCGATAATGGGGAGCTGTTTTCTTCCTAGATCAGCCACCACTTTGAATCACAGCTCATCTTCAGGCTTGCTTAAACATCTCTCGAGATTTCCATGAGGGTTGCCTGCCTTAAACATTTAAAAAAAATTCTTGGAAAAAAGTAGATTTGGCTCAGCTTTGGGTTTAGGCCTACATTAAAAATGCTAAAGGGTTTTATTTGCAAATAAAATGTTTTCCATAAGCACTTATCTAACAAAATCAAACAGCACAAAAATAAGAGGACTTGAATTGAGAGAAACGATCATTATTTGCCAGAGGAAACCCTTTCAAATATGCTCATACCTACCCACATCTGCTTTTTGATCTTGGGGCAAAAAACCCTCTTGATTTAAGTGTGGTGCTTCCAGTGCTCTTACATCAGAATTGTGAAGTGAAATAAATAGGGAATG